TCTGTACTTGCTCAAGGGCTCCTAAGCCAATGCTGGGCTACCAGCATTCCCAGACAACTCTTGTACATAATTAGCACCCCAAATTCAGACTTCCTGGTACCAGACAACCTGTTCATTGCCTCATCAATGAGCCCACTTTCTCACGCTCATCCTATCAAAGGGGGACTCATAGTAGAGTCAGGGCCCTTCCTCTAGAATGTGGACCCATGCTGCATGTACAGTGGGCCTCTCCATGGGTCATGAAAAGATGGGGAATCTGTGCTTTCTCTTTGCAAGAACCCCCTTTCCTCAATAAAGACTTTTTTAAGCCCATGCCATGTGGCATTGTGGGATTTGTTTTGACCTCTGACACTTGACAGGTTTGGGGGATAGTGAAGCACTTCCTATTTAAAAGTTTTCAAACTCTTACAGATATTTGGTTGTTATGTATCCACTAAACCATAGATGATGAATCTCCTCATCACTTTTCAAAAGAGATAAAAGACTTTTCTATAGGTTTAAATTAGTGTCCCAGACCACATTCTGTCCACCTGCTTTCCTGTGCAGGTAGCCAGCCATGAATTAAAGATACTGATGTCTTGTATACATCTTGGCGAGATAAATACCATGACTGTGCCCAACCTTGGTCTCCACTAGTGCAGATGTCAATGGAAAAGCTGTGTGGGTGATGAGTTTACTGACACCAAACCTCCTCTTAATCTCAAACCCTTTCTCCAGAGGAGCCCTCTGCTCTAGTCCAGAAAATTTCTCATGATGCCTTCCTTCCTCATGAGCACCGGACAGAAGAGGGTAAAACACCATGTCATAGTGTTTCTCTGTACCGCCTGAAATAGTGGACACAGGATTATTGTTTAGCAGCGTAAGTTCTATTTTTCCTTAATGCATTTTAAGAACACCACCCCAAGACCCTAACTTCACAAAGGCAGGACACATTGCCTTTCTTCCTGAAGCATTATTTGAAGTATAGAATGTAATATGATCCATTCATTCCCAGCCTGGCCATGGGAAACTACAGAAGAAGGGGGCTCAAGAGGAACTCTCAGGTGGAGATAAGTAGATCTTGAGCCAGGAGGTTATCTCTTTGAAAGGCTTGAAATGTAAATTGGTACCACTCCTGTACCCTTGCCATTTCACTCTCTATGTTCAAGCAGAGCACAGTTATAACAAGCCCCTACACAAAATACCTCCTTCTTGAGAAGGATGACCACCCCAGACAGCCCTCTCAGGGGTTCGGAGAGCCAAAGGTCACGGTAGCTAAAAAAGAACAAGTGCAACGTTCCACTTTGAAAGGGTGTGGGCAGAGATCTCCCTGGTTTGGTCTGCCGAACTTGAGTACCAAGGCCAAGAGTAACCTACTCAATACTGGTAACTCTGTAACCATTCGGGTTACAAGAATGTCTTCTTTAATAAGTGTCACTTAGATGACATCAAGCACTGTAGTTACCTAACCTTATTTAGTACCTAAAACAACCCTTCAAAGTAGGTATTAGGGTGACCATATCATCCAAACCAAGATACCCTGGAGAGCAAAGGAAGTCGTCAATATTAATGTAAAGATAAGAAGTGTAACCAAGGGACTGTCCTGGGCAGACTAGGTGTGTGGTCACCTACTGTTAGTATCTCCAGCTCACAGATGAGCTCCCTGAGGCATGGAGAGTGTGCGTCTGCTGAGGAGAAGCAGAGCTATTCAAGACCAGGGATGTCTGACTCCAAAACCCACGTCTCTTCACACCACGTGGCCTTGCTCTTACCTGATCTGGGAAATAGTTCTGGTGCTCACTGCTCTGGGCAGTGGTATCCGTAGACTTGCTAAGTATTCAGCAAATCTTAAATGGAACCTTAACAGATGAAGCAAATAACAACAGAGCTGTTTCGGTAGAACTGGGCGAATGGGGCTCACATTGTCTGGCTTCCCTCCAGCCTCCTCCTTTACCTCCGGGGTGACCCTCTAAGCCCCACCGTTTCTACAAGGAACACCAGGGCCTGGCCGTCACCTAGATGTGGAGTCAAACCACATGCAAGCTATTTGAGGAAGGACAGAGAATACAATGGTCGGTGCCACATGAGAACCTCTGCTGCATTTAGAAGTCCTGACCATTTAATTCTCTGTCACTCTGCTCTTTCCACCTGCAGCAGTCCTGCCAGACCCTCACGCAACACCGTGAGCCCATTAGTAGCCAGAATCCTAATGACACCCGGAAGGGGCAGGTGAGCTCCAGGTGTGGCTGAAGCCTGCAGAGCTCCGGTGGGCTGTGTGGTAGAAGCGCTTGTCTCATGTTCTACTGCATCCCTCAGGGCTTCCTTCTCCTCCCCTGCCCAGTGCTGTCCCATCTTCGGGAGCAGACGGATCACCTGGGCATCTTGTTAAAATGCAGATTCTGATTCAACAGGTCTTGGGTGGCGCCTTAGAGGCTGCATTTCTCTCAAGCTCCCAGGTAATGCCTATGCTGTTGGACAACACTTTAAGTAGCAAGAGCTTAGGCGACAGATACAGATCAGCAACACAGATTTTACAGAACAGAAGTATCTGGTTCATATGGATATGTTTTCACATCCGGGGAAGCAGTTCCGAGCTGTTAAATGCTGTTCTTGTTTAAACGCAACTTAGTGTGTGTCTGGTTATTAGCAAAAGAGAGTAGAGCTTACACCATCCCGTTCACTTCTGGGAATTTACAGAGAAAAAGCAATACATTTATAGGAAGTTCCTGCGTGAGAGGCTGTTAAGTTTGATCATGTTTTGAAAAACATCTTTGACTAATTTACAAATATGTGCTACTTGCCACATGTACATTTTAAACTTTCATGGGAAAACTGGATAGGTATCCCCTGGGTGGCAGTCCTTGCTCTTCTGCCAGGAATAAAATGTTCATATGACAACATGACCCAGATTTTAAAATTGAGGGAGCAGAGGTTCTGCAAAGCCACATGAGTGCTTAATTAGTGCTGTTTGAAAGTCACTTTGATGTTTCACGGGAAACCCTCAGGAAGCAGTGATGGATGGGACACACTGGCAGCAACATAAGTGATCTACCAAAGTTACCTCTTTTTCACTTTGTTCCTTTGAACTGAAAAATATACTATGCATATTCTAACCATAGCCCATAGCTGTAGCTCCACCCTAGGCCCAGGAATGGGGACAGGAAGATCTTCCTTGGGGTCCCTGCATTTAAACTTCCACCACAGACTTTTACCTTCATCACTTTTACAACTGTTCTTCAAACAGAGTCACCAAAACAGTGACTTTGTCTCCTCACCATGCTTGCTGTTCACTCAGCAAATTACTATTCCCAATAATAAGAAGTATGACTGTAAGAAAATGGGCATTTTCCCATGCTTTGCTCCTTTTGTCCAGTTTTATATTTTTCCTTTGAAAACATTTCTTTTTTGCAGGTTAACGAAGCCTTTACTCAAAAGCATTAGTCTTTCTACCACTTGGATATTTTAGGTAAGGGGTATTTAATACTGTCCTAAAATTATTTTCTATTAGAAGAGAAAAGAAGCTTTGAAAAGTCATGCTTCATTGTTCACATTTTTAATATTGTTTATTATTATTTATTTTATTTTACTTTCATTGAAAGGAATGCTTCTTTCATTAGGGTGAGGAATGTATTATCATCCTGGGATGGTGGAAATTTTTGAGATAAGTCCCATAATTTCCTATATGTAATGTCTCGTTACACCTAAAACAACCACAGGTTTACAAGCTAGCTGTTGATGGTCCCGTGCATAATGTCAACAGCTTAGGATAGAGGGATTTTTGCAAAGTTTTTTAGTGCTGTCTGGCATGGATTTAGCACTTATGCCTTTCAGTCTCAATAATTAATAGGATGCAACATTTGTTGCTTCCTAGTATATCTTGCCCTCCAGAAATATTGCCTTACATTCTGCCTCCTGAGGGTCTCTTGTCAAATGGAGGCTTGATTATAGTAGCTGTGAGTCAAACCATAGATGACCAAAACAGCCCCATACAAATAAAATTGAATAATGTACCACATCAGACAAAGGAGTTTGTCCAAGCAGGCAACAAGGAGATCCCACTGGAAGCAACAAAAATTAACCCTGCTCTTACCAGATAAGCATATATGGGCACATCTTTCGGGCTTATTGGGAGGGTGGTATGATTTCCTGGTGATGGCCATAATCTCACAACCCACATCTGCAAGTAGGTTGGGATCCACCCAGAGTGGGGTGCAGGCTCAGGGCGGGGCAGGAGCCTTGTTCCTAGATATGTCAAGGCCAAGTGAGATGACCTGCCTACTCTTATACTGCAGTCATAGAAACATGGACAAATCTGGAAAGAGCATGGAGTCAGCCCTCTGAAAATCTAATTGTGCCAGAAAGCAAGGGAGTGCTTGAAGAATGATGAGAACAGGTCAAAAGAACACAGAACGTGTTGAAGGGATTTTCCCACTGGCCAAAGCTGGTCATGAATTTTTGTTCTTTGTTTCTAAGATCACTTTTCCTACAGTGTGATCATTTTTGTTACTCTTTTTAAGGCACTAACTTGCTATATTTCTCTAAACTTAAGACCTCTACAAGGAGTCCCAAGATACCATGAGTAGGAGATTGCTTGCTGACCTTTGCTTTTTATAGTCCTCTAATGATCTCATAACATTCTGTGTATTTCTTAAATTCACTCACTGTTGGCCTCTGACCTGTTTTGCTTTCTCTCTGAAAGTAAACTTAGATGTGAAGCCAAAACATCACCAGAAAACCCTCCCTGCTTTTTTTGCTCTTTTATAGTTGCGGAAAAAGAATCATAACAACTGTAAAAGGAACAGACTACTCAGATTCTCTGTGACCATCACAGTCTCCTCCCTGGCGGTGGGTCTACACAGGAAGCCAAATCAGAACCAGAAGTTTCCCCAACATGCACAGAATCAGAAGGGAGGTTGATGATCCGGTTCTTCAATGCAATCATACAAAGCCAGGCTCACACATCACCTCACTGGCAGCCAAACCAGGAAATGCCAAACCTGGCCGAGGTTCCCTGCCCACTGCCAGTATTTGGCTGTTTTTTTCTTTTCCCCAAGCTCGCAAGGCTTCTCAAACTCCTCTTCTGATTAATGTGTGAACATGGGCATTTCCTGACAGGCATTCTGAAAAATACTGCACAACTTTTTCAATGTATATGTCAAAAACAACCTGTCTACAAGAAGAATGGTAAAAAGGAGTTGTCATACTCAGAAAATATTATAATCTGCACTGTTCATATATACAATACTAACATTTATATATGTTATAATATATGTTATAAACTTATAACTATAACTAATGCCATGAAATACAACGGATGGAAGAATTTGTTACCAAGGGATGAGTAGAGTGAACTGAAATGACTTTAAGGTAAATATGTTTAAATTCCATTCCTCAAAGAAACATACTTATTTTTCTAAATGGGAGGATATGAAAAAGTTGGTGACTATGAATCAAACATAAGTTCATATGAAAAGAATTAGTAAAATATCCTGATGATGAAAAATATGGTCCTTGAACTTGGAAAACTTGAGACTTAAAAAAACAAAGAAAACTTGAAACTAGACATAACTTTTAAATGAAAATATGTGTAATAGGTGGTCTTTAGCCCCAGGATTAGTGAATAAGCACCATTTACTGAGTGTTTACTTTGTGTAAGACATGTTAACAATTTTTTTTTAACTGAGGTATAGTTGATTGTGTAAGTTTAAGGTATACAATGTTTTGGTTTGATACATTTATATATTGCAATATGATTAGCATTAGCTAACACCTCTATTATATTATTGTATTTCTTTTTTTGTGGTGAGAACCACTAAGATCTACTCTCTTGGCAGCTTTGAAGTTTACAATTCAGAATTGTTGATATAATCATTATACTGTGCATTATATCTCCAGAACTTATATATTAATTGCAAGTTTATACCCTTAACAACATCTCCCCAATTCCCCACACCCTAATCCCTGGTAACCACCATTCTACTCTCTTTAGAGTACAAGTTGTTATGAGTTTGGCTTTTTTAGGTTCCACATATAAGTGAGATCATGCAATATTTGTCTTTCTGTGTCTGGCTTATCTCACTTAGCATAATATGCTCCAGGTTCACCTACGTTGTTGCAAATGTCCCGATTTCTTTCTTTTTTAAGGCTGAGCAGTGTTTCAGTGTATGTATAGACCACATTTTCTTTATCCACTCATCAGTCAATGGATACTTGTGTTGTTTCCATATCTTGGCTACTGTAAATAATGCTGCAATGAACATGGGAGTGCAGATATTTCTTCAAGATAGTGATTTCAATTCCTTTGGATAAATACCCAGGAGTGGAACTGTTGGGCCATACGGTAGCTCCATTTTTAATTTTCTGGTTTTCCGCAGTGGCTGCACCAATACATTCCCACCAACAGTGCACAAGCGTTCCCTTTTCTCCACATCTCACCTATACTTGTTGTCTTTTGACTTTTTGATAGTAGCCACTCTAACAGGTGTGAAGTGATATCTCATTGTGCTTTTGATTTGCATTTCCCCAGTGATCAGTGATATTGAGCATCTTTTCATATAGCTGTTGGCCATTTATATGTCTTTTCTGGAAAAATGTCTATTTAGGTCCTTTGCCCATTTTTCAATTGAGTTATTTGGATTTTTGCTATTGAATTGTATGAGTTCTTTATATATTTTGGGTATTAACCCCTTATCATATATATGATTTGCAAATATTTTCTCCCATTCCGTAGGTTGCCTTTTCATTTTGTTGATTGTTTCTTTTGTTATGCAGAAACTTTTTAGTTTGATGTAGTCCCACTTGTTTACTTTTGCTTTTGTTACCTGTGCTTTTGGTATCAATTCCAAAAAAATCATTGCTAAGACCAATGTTAGGAAGCTTTTCCCCTATGTTTTCGTCTGGGAGTTTTATGGTTTCAGGTCTTATATGTACATAATTTCATATCCTGCCTTTTTTTTCCCATTTGATATGTTTTTATCATACCTATTTGCCACATTATTACCTCACCTTCATAACTATTATTTTTAATGACTATAATATTAAGACTGGTGAAAATTTGCAACTTTAATTTTATAGGGAGATGGACTAGTATAGGTACTTATAAACCTTAAAAATTCTATCAGATTACATATCAAAAATTTTATAATGAGTGACAGCAGCACGGTGTCATGAGTCGTTCCTTTTTTCTCTCCCCGTTGATTTACAACTAATCGGACATCCATAAGCAAAAAAAAAAAAAAAAGCACCCTGAAAGGCATAAACAGGACACCCGTGAGATCCATCCTTCTGTGCATCTGAAAGAAGGTGGATTGGACCCTAGAGGAACTGGCAAAGAGAGGGAATTGGAGACAGAGCTGGTGGCGGCAGAGAAGGCTTCAAGCCAGCACGACTTTTCTACGAGAGGAGGTGGAGGGTGAAGGCAGTGGGGGGAAGGGAGCGGGGCCTGCCCAGCCATGTGCTGAGCTGTAGGGATCAGTTGCTCTGTTGCTGTCTCTCAGGAGAGGCCAGAGTGACTGGGGAGAGGAAAAGGAAAGGGAAGCAGGCAAAGAGAACTGAAGGAAAATGTCTCCCGCTGTCTGCCTCAGGAGGCAAGAGCACTGCCCAAGGACCTCTGGGACTCCTCTACTGGAGGACCTCCCTATCAGGCAGCGGTACACTCAAAGCCCCAAGTGCTAACTGGCTCACTGGCTCTGCCAACACCTTTTTCTTTTTTTTTTCTTTTTTTTTTTTAAATACACTGGCCAATCTCAGCAATTTATTAGCTCTGGTAAGAGAAACCAAAAACTTGTGCTATAGCACCACCTTCTGGAAAACAAAAGGAATGCTCTTAACTACCAGTCTGTAGAACGGTTAGAATCAAAATAAAGCCTTGCCTAAATGAGAAATTTGCTACTTCTATGAAGCGACAGAAGCATTTTTCACCAAACACTGTGAAAAGTCATGGTAATATAGCATCACAAAAATAAAATGACAATTTTCTAGCAAAGACATGGAATATTGGGATCTAACTGATAAAGAAATTAAAATAGCAGTTATGAATAAATTCAATGAGCTACAAGAAAATTCAGGAAGACGATACAATGACCTCAGGAATAAGATTAATGAACAGAAGGACTACTTTGCCAAAGAGGTTGAAAATCTGAAAAAGAACCAAACAGAATTTCTGGAACTCAATAAATGAGGTGAAGAATACATTACAATACATTGGAAATAGAGCAGATCATATGGAAGAAAGAATTAGTGAGCTCAAAGATAGAAATATAGAAATGATTCAAGTGGGAGAGGAGAGAGAACTAAGATTTTTAAAGAGTGAAGAAACCTTACGAGAACTATCTGACTACATTAGAAAAGCCAGCATAAGAATAATGGGCATCCCAGAAGGAGAAGAAAGAGACAAGGGAGGAAAAAACATATTTAAAGAAATAATAGCTGAGAGCTTCCCAAACTGGGGAAGGAACTGAATATACAAATGTACATAACTATAGAACATCTTATTTTTGAAACACAAAAAGACCTTCCCCAAGAGACATTATATTAAAGTTGTCAAAAGTCAACGGTAAAGAATTTTAAAGGCAGCCAGGGGGAAAAAAGCAGTAACTTACAAATGTATCCCCATTAAGCTATCAGCAGATTTCTCAGCAGAAATTCTATAGGCCAGAGAGAGTGAAATGAAATATTCAAAATAGTGAAAGATAAAAATTGTCAGCCACGAAAGCTCTCTGGCAAAGTTATCCTTCAGATATGAAAGAGAAATAAAGTCTGTCCCAGACAAGCAAAAGCTAAGGGAGTTCACCACCACTAGACCTGCCTTGTAAGAAATGTTGAAAAGGAGCTATTTAAGTTGAAACAAAAAATGGAAAGTACACAGAACTCTGATTAAGGTGATAAATAGTCAGAATTAGAATACTATAACTTTTTTTTAGAATAATATATTATATTCTTACCTATAGCACAAAGGTTAAAGGAAAAGATCAATAAAAATAACTATAGCTACTACATCTTAGTAATAAAATCACAGCATAAAAAGAGATAATTTGTTACATCAAAAATATAAAAGGGGGAAAGTAAAAAGATGAAGCCTTTATAGGAGACTGAAAGTAAAATGTTATCAGAAGAAAAAGGACTATTTTATTTATGAGATGTTTTATGTAAACCTCATGATAACCACAAAGCAAAAATCTACAATAGTGACATGAAATATTAAAACCAGGGAGACTGAGCAAATCCTCATGGAAAACCACCAACTTAAAATGTAAACAGAAACAGAAGGAAAAAGAAACAATGGAGAGACAAAATAATTAGAAGGCAAAAGATAAAATGGCAGTAGTAAATCCTTACATGTCAATAATCACCCTAAATGTAAATGGATTGAACTCACTAATCAAAAGGCACAGAGTGGCTGGATGAATAAAATAAACAAACAAACAAACAAACAAAAAAACCCGAAAACAAGACCTAACTATATGCTGCCTGCAGGAGATTTATTTCATCCTCAAAATGAAAGGATGGAAGATGGTATTTCAAGCAAATGGAAACAAAAAGAAGGCAGGCATAGCCAACTTATATCAGACAAAACAGACTTCAAACCAAAAAGGGTAACAAGAGACAAAGGAGGTCATTATTTAATGAAAAAGGGGTCAATACATTAAGAAGATATAACAATTTTAAGTACATACACTCCCAACACCCAAGTACCGAAATATTGGGTTGGCCAAAAAGTGACTTCGGTTTGTAAGTAAAAATAAAAGACACATTTTTCATTTTCACCAAGAACTTTATTGAACAATGTATTCACCGTTTTGTTCCACTACCTTCTGCCATTTTTCAGGCAACTTCATAATTCCATCTTCCCCAAACTTTTTATCTTTGTGAGCAAAGAACTCTTCCAGATGCCTTTTATAGTCTTCCAGGGAACTGAAATGTTTTTCCATTAAGAGAATTTTGTAAAGGTCGAAATAAATGGAAATCCAAAGGTGCAATGTCTGGTGAATACAGCGGATGAATCGGAACTTCCCAGCCACGCCGTAACAGTTTTTGCCTGGTCATCAAAGAAACACGCAGTCTTGCATTATCCTGATTGAAGATTTTGTATTTTCTGTGGATTAATTCCAGATGCTTTTCGTCGAGTGCTGCTTTCAGTTGGTCTAACTGGGAGCAGTACTTGTTGGAATTAATCTTTTGGTTTTCCAGAAGGAGCTCATAATGGAAGACTCCCTTCCAATCCCACCATATACATAACCTCACCTTCTTTGGATGAAAACCGGCCCTTGGTGTTGGTGGTGGTGGTTCATTTGGCTTGCCCCAAATCTCTTCCATTCCACCTTACTGTACAGTACCTACTTTTCATCACCCGTCACAATTTGTTTTAAAAATGGAACATTTTTCTTACTTTTAAGTAGAGAATTCCATGCAGAAATACAGTCAAGAAGGTTTTTTTTGCTTAACTTATGTGGGACCCAAACATCAAAGCGATGAACATAACCAAGCTGGTGCAAATGATTTTCAATGCTTGATTTGGATATTTTGAGTATGTCGGCTATCTCCCACGAGGTATAACATTGATTATTCTTAATTAATGTCTCAATTTGATTGCTATCAACTTCAACTGGTCTACCTGTCTGTGGAGCATTGTCCAGCAAGAAATCCTCCAGCACAAAACTTTGCAAGCCACTTTTGACATGTTCGATCAGTCACAGCACCTTCTCCATACACTGCACAAATCTTTTTTTGCATTTCGGTTGCATTTTTACCTTTCTCGAAATAATAAAACATAATATGCTGAAAAATGTTGCTTTTTTCTTCTATCTTCGATACTAAAATGGCTACACAAAAATTCACCAGTTTTGATAAGTTTTTTTAAAAATGCATGCTGATATGACAGCTGTCACAATACAATTTAACAACATTGTTTCGAATGAAGTTAAAGACAACTAAGCGCTACTGGATCCATCTTACGGAAAATACCAAATGAACTTTTTGGCCAACCCAATATATTAAGCAATTAATAACATGTCTTAGGGCAGAAATAGACAACATAAAATAATTGGAGGGGATTTCAATATTCCACCCTCAGCACTATTGCTGATCATCCAGACAGAAAATCAACAAAAATGTTGGAATTGGACCACACTTTAGACCAAGAGAACTTAATAGAAATATAGGGCATTCCTCCAACAGCCTAATACACATTTTTCTCAAGTGCACATGGTATATTCTCCAGGACAGATCATATGATAGCTACAATATAAATCTCGGTAAATTTAAGAAGATAGAAATTGTATCAACTATCTTGTCTGACCATAGTGGTATGAAACCAGACATCAACAAGAGGAAAGTGAGAAGATCTACAAATATGTGAAAACTAAGCAACACACTTCTAAACAACCATTGGGTCAAAGAAGAAATTGAAAGGAAAATAAAAAATTATTTTGAAACAAATGAAAATTGACATAGGACAGATACGTACACACCCTATTCTATGGCACCAGTGAGTTGGTACATGAATGTTCCACACACTGATCACATATTTTACTTGCTTTGAATACAGGTTGAGAGAAGCAACGCTCTTTCTTCTGTTTCCTGGGCATCACTAAACTGTCCTATTAACTAAAATTATTTCCTTATCTTCTTTTATTTTCTCATACAAGTGTAGAAGGAGAATCCTTGAATTTACTTATTCACTCAACAAACATTTATAGACTGCATAGTTGTAGGCAATACTACAGACCTACTGAATCAAGTAGGGTCCAGGTATCTGTGTTTTCAACAAATTTTCCAGGAGTGTGTGATACCCACTGACAGTAGGAACCACTGACTGATGATTGACTGTCTAGGTAACCACTAAGGAGATCAGTCAGGAACTCATCACAGACAGGCAAGAGATGGAAGAAGCATAAATTAGGTCAGTAGAAGAGTGAGGAAGAGGAGACAGATGTTCAGAAATGTGAGGTAAATTGGCTGGTGTTGATGGGGTAGGCAGTAGATGGGAAGAAAAAGAAAGAATAGATCACAAATTTCCATAATGGAGATCCAATCATGGTGGTCTCAGGGACTGAAATTTCAAGTTAAGAATGAGATGAACACTTAAAAGACAAAAGTATGAGCTCAGCTTAGTTCTGTTGACTCCCAGGTATCTATGAGAGACCCAGGTGGAAGTGTCAAGGGGAAGGTTGGAGATCCAAGTCCAAAGTTCAGGGCCTGCGATGAAGATGTAGATTTGGAAGTGATCCACAGAGAAGTGGTAGTTGAAACCACACCAGAATCCAAGATCATGGCAGGGAGAGGGAGAGAGAATAGATGGGCCAAGGGTGAAAGCTTGGGGGTCTTAACTCCACAGTGAAGAGCTGAACAATTGTGCTCTTTAACATTTTAATATAACCCAAATGTTTTAGCATATCACAAATATGAACAAAGAAAATGTTTGAAAGTTTATTTCAGCGTAAAATTCACAGTTCCAATCATTAATTCTTCTTGAACCAAATTTTTGTAGGGCTCACTTCTATTTAAATAACTACTAGATTAAAAATGTAGTCAAATTGTGTCAGAATTTAGTCCTTGGAATGAGGGAAAGAGGGGGACTGATGCTGGGATATGAACCCACTGCTAAAGAAATTGGCTGGGACATTCTCCCCTGAGAGAGAACAGATCCAAGACCTTGGCCACCATCCTCAGACTTTGAAAGACATCCTAGTTACTAAAAAAGGATCTGAGAGTTCCTCCTATTGGTCAAATGACTTTGATATGAATGAACCTTGTTCTAAAGGTTGGACCACAGGAGAATTGGGGATCTGTTTCTAAAATCACCATTATGCAAATGATTCATTGGACCATTGAAGATTAGCATTATTTGTTTTTATAAGCAAATACAGGCACTTCCCTAAAATCTGCAAAAGAACATCAGAAAGTCATTTCTTGCATCTGCAAGTAGAATATTGAGAGCTGGAGACTCCTGGACTCCAGAGGAGTCAGTCACTAAAGGAACTACGTCTTTAGATGACACTTGGAAATTCTTAGCACAGTATAAAAAAGTGAGATTCATTTCTTTCTGTGCCTTAGATTTGAAGGAGTGTTTATTCAAGGTCTTGGACTTTATACTCTGGGGAGCTGAAAGTTTCTTCCAAAGGAATCGTAGACACCCATGGTCCAAAGCTGCACAAAATACCTGATTAAAAAAAAAAAAAGAGTGCTGATATCCCAGAGGAGCTCCCTGTGTCTCTGCTGGCACCAACATGAAATCCAATAGCAATCTATTCCTCCGACGTAAGCATCTAAACCTTCCTTTAATTTGTCCTGTAAAAACTTTTTTTATGAATGAGTGAACCAATCTATCTATCTCTCAGGGGAAAAAAATCATATTGAGAAATTCACTGAGAATAAAACCCTGAGAGATATAGAAATGAAAAACACAAGAGAGAAAACACAGAAGGGAAAACTACATTGAATGATGCCAGAGTGTAAAGGCATGACTACAGCTCCTATCGGCTATAACTAGTTCTCAGAAGGTGTCTCTAGCACCCAGACATTCATTTCAGTGTCCAGAGTCCTTGGGGTTTTTTGATAAAACACAGAAGCCATATTGGGGTCCTTTGCAGAGTATTGGGAGGTTTTGTAGTCCTTGTACCATCTGCCAACACCAGAGGACTTGGCACTTCTCAAGCTTAGCCCAGAGGGATGCATTTGAGCCAATGCTTAAATAAAATAAAAAGATAAACCTGATTCCTTTCACAGGCCCTCACAGTTTCATCCCCCTTGTCCCTCATGTAGCAGTGGATGATAGGAGGAGCCAGAGTCCCCCAAGGCAGAGGGAGAGGGCCTGCCAATGCAGTTTGCATCTACTTTGCTCACTTCTTATGGCTAACAGCCCTCCCATAAGACCCAAAGGGTTTCCAGGTGGATCCTGGCTTTACCCAACCTCTTTGACCCAAGACTATCAAATGGATCCTTCCTCGAGTGTCTCAGACAAATATGTACCAAAATTTCCAAATTGGTTTTACAAAATATAAAAATTAAATAAATCCATATATCTACTAGAAGAATAGGGCAAAGCATTTCAAAACAAGAGTGTAGTACTTTATCAGTAGATGCCCTTGTTTAGTATTGGATTAAACCATATTAATTTGTTGGTGTTTGACTATTTTTGACATAAAAATGATAATTTCGTGTGGTTCAATCTAACAGGTGAGGAATTACTGGGATAGCAAAGGCTAATGGTGCCTAATCTGGGAAAACACTAACCAAGGCAGATTCGTCTCCAGATTCACACTGATGTAGGAAGAAGGACTAGCTCCCCAGATGCCAAAGACTCCTCAATGTTTCCACTTATAATCTCATAGCAGAAATCCTTTCTCCTCAGATGCTGTCAAATGTCCCTTATGAGCCCCTAAAAATTACTAAAACTCAGGTATTTCAACAGCCCACTCTAAGTTTAAGAGAAATGAACTGTTTTGCAACTAGAAAAGATTATGTAAGCAGAGCATACCACTGTGAAGAGCAAGGGACGGTATGGGAACAATTGGGGACCTACATTATTCTCCCTGACCCTTGACCTACACACTGTCCAGCTTTAGAAGACAGACACTTCACTCTCTTCCCTGAAACAGGGTTTTGAATTGTCTAGAAACAAATGAACTCCTCAGTTCTCAATTAATCAGTACATCTCCAGAAAGAAAAAAGTCAAAAACAAAAAAACTTCTCATACATATTTAAAAGTCAGTTCCAACAATGATACACACACACACGTATACACACATTGAAAAGTTTTCCCGGTTGAACAAACTACTGAGTCCTTGAATTAATAAACAATATGGACATTGGTTTTAAGTGAGCATTGTTGGTTTTTCTGTAGTCTCTTACTTAAGGACAAAATTCTTCTCTAGAAAAGTTTTAACTTTTGCACACACACACCACACATTTGTAGAGCCTTTCTGTTTATGCTTCTAAAAGAAGCTTTTAATCGTCTCACGGTGGGGTAGTTGACAAATAATTATAAATAGCAATGACAGGGAATCCTAAACGCCCCTAAACTCTCTGACCCCTGCCCTCAAACGTCCCAGACACTGACGTACAAATAAGCTGATTTTTCCTTTGGATCTTCAGCCCAAAGCCCTGATGTAGAAAGTTGGGAGCTACATTGGCAAACGCAAGGGACAGTATGCCCAATTTATGAAAATTCCTTTGCATAAACTGGAGGTAAGAAGAGTTTCTCCATAAAATCTAGAGTTTAATCCCCACCCCAGGCCTTCCAGAATTTGGACAGCTCCCTTGTTGGCAATGTCCCAAGCTCTCTTTCCTTAGCCTAGTAGGAGGAAAAGTCATGGGGGCAAAGAGGAACCAGAGAGGGAGAGAGAGTGCACCTGTTTCCTCTCAGGAGAGGAGACCCTGCCCAGCATCTCCTGCATCTCACCTCTACAGCCTCCCTTTGAAAGCAGCCCCAACCTTCTCACTCCTCCATCCTATGGACAGAAAAGCACACAAGACAGTGGTGAGAGAACATCTCAATTTGAGCTTGTCACTAGGAAAGCCCTTCTCATTGAAATGTCCCCACAATGAAAGGAGTAACCAATAAAATAGCCTTAGCCCTTGGCCTATTTTGGTGGCAACACTCCTTCCTTTTGGAGGGAAGTGGAGGCAAGGGGGAATGGGGATTTCTGTTAGCCGGTAGAGCATGCATTCCCTCTTTCTGAACCTTTAGCTGTGTTTACTGCAGCTTTCTTGGGCTGGCTTATCTCTGCCCCCAGTTAATTACATAATGCTCCCCATGAGAACCTCAGAGCCTGAACAATCCCATCGCACTCTTGGACCACGTGATGCAGTAGCTCACCTGCACTGGTAAAAGTCTCAAAATAAGACTCCAAGGGTTTATTTTACAGTCAGCCCGTCTGGATTATATCTCAAACAAGTCTCAGGATTTTGGAATGTCCACACAGCAAACCAACAGTGGGAGCTGCTCACCTTCTCTGAGAGAACAGGTGAACGAGCAGATGATGTTCGATGAGTTCCTTTCACCCTATTCAGCCTCTGGACCAGCAGCAAAGAGAAGGAACATCTTCTATCCCCTAAAACAAGAGGGAGGTTGTATCCTGTAAAACTTGCTCACACTGTTAGAGAGGGAGGAAATATCTACATCACCACCAGAAGCTCCCTACCCCTCAAGCAAGAAGCAAGTTAAGTCCTACTCACAACACTTTGTTACCAAGGGCCTTCCTTCCTGAGGCCACCCTTACCAGTGAGAGGGTTACCCCAACATTCCAGAAAGTGAAATCTACACCTGAAGAGAACAAAGCCAGGGCATCCCTGCTAGGCAAGCTCAGGATGCTGAAGCAGAAAGCTGGTCCTGTATCCTTCTCCCTTCTCCCTCCAATTCTATCCCAACCCTCATATGATGCCCAAAGGGACCTCCTACACGACCCCAGCCCCTCCAATGTACAGGGACACATCCCCTATCTCCAGCCAAGCTCAAAGATGTCATTGTGCAGGAACTTAATCCATTCTGTAATAATGTAATCAACCCTTTCTTAGGTGGATACTCTGAATTGTCACTCATCTGACTCTCCAGGACCCCTGCTCTACTACTCCTGTCTAAAGCCGACTATGTTCCCATCTCTCAGGAATTTTTGGTGTTCCTTTTCCCTATTAAAGAAAGCTGAGGGTTTTATGCAATCACCTAAATGTCACATAAGGGGATTAAAACCTGGGCTCCCATTTTAATGTGTGTGGAGCTTAGGGGCTTCCAGTCCCTGGAGAATCTAGTCTTCCATTTGAGTTTTCCTCTTTTTCTAAATTTAAAAGACTGACATGGCAAGATGAACATCCTTATCTTGATCTCAGTTATGGTCCTGGATATAGTAGCTCAAAGAGGTTGGGCTTAATACCCTTTCAATCTACAGAACTGATTGTTATTTGTGATGTGGCAATACATCAGCCCACACATAGAGTTGGGGTGTTGGAATGGAAAATGTTAATAAAACCAAGGTGATGTTTCTCTGAGCTTGTCACTTCAAAGGCCATCACCTCTGATAGCATTTCACCAAACCTGGTTTATACAGCTTATAGCTTACCCACTTCTCAACCGTATAATCTGGCCTCCTCTCTCACCACGCTACTCAAACTGCTGTTCCCAAAGTCCCCAAAGACCTCCGTGCTACTTTAGCCCTTCTTGACCTCTTAGCAGATTCGTCATGGTTAGCTTCGCCCACTCCTTCCTTCTTAAAATACGCTCCTCCCTTGGTTCCTATGATGCTGCACCCTCGTGATGTTCCCGCTCCTTCTCAGGCTCTTCCTTCCCTGTTTGCTTTTTGTTTGTCTGTTTTTGCACATTCCCACCAATGTTGATGTTCCTCAGGACTCCATCCTGGACCTCTTTGGTTTCATTCTATGGGCATTTCCTAGACAGCCTTATCCACTAGTCAGTATCTATAGCATCTTGAGGCCAAGGCCTATTTCTCTCACCTGTATCCTCAGTCCCAGAACAATGGCTACACATAAGATACACCTAACAAACATTTGGTGGGTTAAATTGCTGTTTCTCTTTAATAGCATCAAATCTATGGCTGGCTCCCAGGCCCCCTCCATCAGCGCCTGTATTTCCCCACAGAAAGTGTAAAGTTTACTACACTGTACTTCCTAAAGAAAGACAGAGATTGTTCTTTCCTTGGCCCTTCTCCTGTCCCTTGGGTAAAATTTCTCAGGTAGGCTCCTGAATAGTTTTTCAACCTGCAGTTCACTGCCTGATAGAAGATCATAAAGTTAATGTACTAGGTTACAACCACAATTTTTAAATTAAGCAGAATCTAATACACTAATATAGGCAATATCAAAATGTTTTATACATGAGGGACGGGATTTATTTCTTAAATCTCTGTATGTGTGAATGTGTGCACGTAGCACACATTGAGTGTACTGGTAAAAATGTAAAATTTATATATTACAGTGAATTATGGTCAAAAAAAGTTTGAGAAAAACTGCTCTGAAGTGTCCACATACTATATCCAGGTCAAGGGTAATCCCAGTACAGTTTATCTCATAAACAACATATCCTTCTACTAAGCCCTAACAAGTATCATGAACTTAACTCCATTACAGAGCAAGTTTCAGAGTAAGTAATCTTTTCATTTTAGTAGCTTCCTAAAAAGATGGACTACTCAAAAATTCAGGGCTTGTGTTGTCACTTAAATTTTTTCTTCTTTTAAACAAATTTGATTAAAATAAAAATTAAGGGCTTCCCTGGTAGTGCAGTGGTTGGGAATCCGCCTGCCAATGCAGAGGACATGGGTTCAAGCCCTGGTCCGGGAAGATCCCACATGCCGCGGAGCAACTAAGCCCGTGAGCCACAACTACTGAGCCCGCATGCCACAACTACTGAAGCCCGTGCACCTAGAGCCAGTGCTCCGCAACAAGAGAAGCCACTGCAATGAGAAACCCATGCACCACAACAGAGAGTAGCCCCCACTCGCTGCAACTAGAGAAAGCCCACGCGCAGCAACGAAGACCCAACGCAGCCAAAAATAAACAAATAAAATAAATAATTTTTTTTTAAAAATTAAAAGGTCATGATATATTTTGCCAGAATACATTTTCATAGCATCAAAATGATCTGTTTCAGAAAATGCATTGTTCTATGTGAAATGAGTATCAGGAGTTCTACACTAGACAAAATCCTTTGGAAATCCATACATGTGGCAAGTTTGGACTGACACAGACACTCTTCAGGACTGGGAAGGTGACCCATGATTCTCAGATTTTACCTCCTCCAGAGGGCTTACAAGAAGGACAACTAGGAACCTATTCCAGGCCCTAAAAATAAGGGTATAAGTGGTAGAAGAATCTCCTTTCCAATGGTGGTGAACTTTTGAAATCCTGGGATAAATGTATCTGGTAGATTGGGAGAGTGTCACCTTGTGCAGTTTCAGAACCACACATGGAAGAGGCCATAATGATGCATCACAATTCTCTTTGTGTTTTTTGCTGTTGTTGTTGCTGTTTTTAGTGTGCTTGTTCAACAACGACATATAACCCAACACTACATACACCATTGTCTCCCAGTTTCCCTGTCTTCCTCACCCAATAGCATACCCATCTGGGCCATATGTCAGAGAGTAGGGAACCTCACTGGAGACCTGGGATGATCAACCTGTCATGAAGCCCTTGCCTCTTTGCCCTGGGGAGCATTTGTATCTTCTCCCTGAGAGTTCTTGACCCCTTGGGACTTTTCGTTCATAGGTGCAGATGGACTGGGCTTCATTACCTGTCTTAGGTGTTGGGCTTCTCCCCTAGTCCAGCACTCAGAGGTATAAACAACTAAATTATATAGTTGCTATATGCCAACCAGGAGAAAGGGGAAAGCCCTCTAAGGAAATAAGAAAGCTCTGTACAATAGAGACAGTGGGTATCTGTAATATCATTCAATGCACAGTGGCAGAAAATGAGACTGGAGAAATCACCATGTAACCTGGAGATGAGGGAAAAATCAGGCGTATCAACAAACATGACCACCCTGCAGACGAAACAGTATTCCCATGTCAAAGAAGAGTGTGTCTATAGAAGAGGCGAGTCATCATCAACTATAGCAAATTGGTCTCAAAGAGGAAAAACTGTAGCCGCAGCCTTGTTGAGGGGAGAGGGAGGTTAAATCACAGTAGTACACATCAGAAGTGTGACTGAATTGAGTCCAATCC